TTCCTAAAAGGCCAGCCTACCGCAAGAGCGTAACAATGCCTCTTTAGTCAGTAATGATTAGTAAATTTTTCAACTGCAACGGTACCACTTAGTTAGTAACGATCACATTAACTAAACATTTCTAGCTAGAGTTGCGTTGTCGCGAGGGCAGAATGGCTTTTTAGAGAGACGATTGGGTCAAAGCGTCAGGCCGTGAAAAAGGTTGTCACCTAAAAACCTCCTTGGCAGAATCGAACCACTAAAATTAATAACGAGTCGAGGTAGAGAGAACTTGGAGAGCATCGAAAGAACTCAATGTCCTAATCATTATATTAACCACGTTTGCATTAAAGTAGTTCTACATCTGATTCCTTTTTATCAGAATTCGAATGCACGGCGCATCCTAAAGGAGTTGACCCTGAAAACCTTTTCGCGCTACGATTACAAATGATGTGCTCGGAGGAGATCTGATGTCACCTTGGATAAGGCAGCCGTTTATAATTCCGACGAAATCTCGATGTTTATAGGATAAAGTATCTAATTCTGAGATAAGTAGGATCTCTCCCTGATTGGAAAACCTTTCGCAATGCTTATCTTGTGTAACGCGCACAGACAGCATAGGAGGCAGGCTAGCGAGAGTAAACATCATGAGGTGTTTCTGTAGTTTAACCCCAACCTATAACCTTATTGGAAGGTCACGAAGCGGTTCGCAACAGTTAGGAGTGCGGACATGCGCGTACCTAGAAGCGGTGTTCGTAGGGTTAGAGAACACTGGGGAATGAGCCACTAGCTGCGATATATTGCGGGGAATCAGTATTTTGTTTTTTTTCTGTTTTCCACTCTATCCTCAGTGTTTGGCAACTTTGCACGGCTCGGGCCGTGATTTAGCGATACTTGATACACACCCTCGCAATTATGGCTTACAGCTTTACCGCGGATATCCACCCTGATCGGCTTTATGGAAAGCTGTTGAAAGAATGGATTTCTCATAAATATCTAAAATTTGCTAAATCTGCACAATCAACTGATTGCTTCTTGGGCTGGGGACGACGGATCATCAAGCAAAAATGATTTTACAAAGAAATCTAAATTTGAGGATGGTTTGGAGCGCTCAAAGTAGACAATGAGAACATTTGATCGGTGATGCCCTTTCATAGCTGATTATTCGGTGGGCTGGGGTTATGCTGTGGGAAGTAGATCCACTTCTCACCTTCACGGATTGGGGATCAGTCTCAGATCAAACTCGCTTACGCCAGCCAAACATCATTCCGAGGTCAGTTAGTTCTTACCGGACTGTTGTGGAAGGATAACAGCACAGCCTTGTCCATCAGGTGACCGCTAAAGGACCATATGTTCTATTTAACACGTTGACGACCGCGCTATTTTTCGCTGTCTGGCGTGTGGGACCGCGCGCATTATTTTGACCGCGCGAGTGTGACATGGCATCATGTCAAACGGTCCCACGAGAACTCCTTTTTCTCAGGAAGTGTGTATTTGTTATCTTTCTTGTGTGGTAGGTCTCCGATTATGCGATTTTGGCCATTTTAGCGATTCCTGTGATTTGATCATTATTCAAACATTTTTAGAAAAACTCGATAGCCCATCAACCGAAGCTTCTTTCCAGGGACCACGCCTTTTGTAACAATGCCTAAGTATGGCGCATACATCACGTAAATAAGTTACCTAAAATGTTTGAAAACCAGCTTAAAAAAGACTGTGACATGACATCATGTCACACGGTCCCACGTGGCCGAAAGAGTGTGGTATGACATCATACCACACGGTCGTCAACGTGTTAATAAACTTCACGAGCCCGGGGGGCGGTCTATTGGAAGGCCACTAGGACTAACAATAAGCCTAACGCCGAGGGACGAATTCCGGAGCAAACGAAAATTCTTACCCTGCTTGGATTCCCTTTTCTCCTTCAAAACTTGGTCCCCAATTTGTAAGTTTTCGTGAATCTGACGCAATGCTACAGGGTAGACCCCCCCCCCCCCCCGCCGGGGGCCACATTTCGCCTCGCATTTGGATGCCGTTACCATTTCAAGCGAAATACCTAAAATGCGCGGCACATCCAAAAAACA